ATTCAATTCATGAATGCATGTGGTCTGTTGAATGGAAAAGCTAGTCCAGGATAAAACTGATTAACCAGCTAATTAGAAAGTCGCACATGATTAATTAATTTGTGGGTATATGTGAATTTAATTAATTAATTGATTAATCTGGGTCATCAATCAATCTTATTCGTGATACAGGAATTCTAGCTAGCAACGTAGCGGTGGACAACGCTGATGCATGCGCTTTAGAGGTTTAAGGTCAAAGTAGTGACCCAATTAGTTAATTAGCTTAATTCATTTGGAATTTGGAAACAATAGTAACAAGAGAGTAGTGTTTGTGTCCCCAAAGGGGCGTTAGATGGAAATTGACACAGGACAAGTTCATTATTTAAAATGGAATTATAAAACGACTGAAAAAATTAATAATGCAACCATTCTGATTTCTGGCAGCTGATGATATTGGGGAGATCAGGGCCCACCATCATCATCATCTTCTAGGTCCCACCCAAGAGAAAAGCCTGCATAGAAAATCAGATTGATCAGATGTTTACATGTCTCCTCTAGACAATCTTCCTACCTACATACATCATTTTCATCAGTGCTTTGAATAAAGAGTACTTTTAATACAATTTTCCAACAGTATCAAAATATTTGCTCTGGAAACACACAAGGCCAGTTCTGAGCTGATCTCAATTTTTCAATTTCCAACCGTTAAGATTCTTCAAGGTGGGTCCCGTTTGTCATCCTAATGTAGGACAGATGGTAACTTATGGATCACATACAGGCGATTTCATTTTAACCCGAATCCGATAGCAAAATCAACTGACCCATTCTGATTTCATGCATGTTGTTAATTAAAATGGCTCGTGCATAAAAAGAGTTCTGAGTGGCAAAGGAAGGACGGATCAGTGGTGAGTGGTGAGAGTCTTAGCGGTGGAGCTGGGTGGTCATGGGTTTCTTCCGGCCGGGATGGAAAGCAACCCCAACTTCGATTCCCAAGGTGGTGGTTCACTGCCTCTGCAGGACCTGCAGTTAAGACTTAAGAGAGAGATGATAAAAAGAAGTTGTGAATTAATTATTAACTAACTAGCTAGGAGCAGAAATCAGAAATGAAGAAAAAGTTACAAGAGTAGCAGCATTTCATGTGCTATAGGGATTCCAAGACAAATTTGTGAAGGAAATCAACTGGATTGAAGAAACTGAAGTAGAGAAACGATGAAATAACCACTACTTTTCTGATAGGATGTATTTTTGTACAGATTCATTTAATCCCACCAACAATTAATGAAATCAATGGCTTATTACAAACATGTGTGAATAACTGGTGTATATATACAGTCAACTTTGTTCACTGTATACTAGTTACTCGTACATCTCTCAACTTTGTATTCTCATCCAATTGAATCCACAATAGTCTGAATAATTAATGCCCAACAAACACACCACCTTGGTTTAAGATACTCACCGTCTGTGGAGGTGAAATGGGGTTGGATTGACCCAAAATTAGGCTAGCTGTCAATGGGTCGGGTCTACCTGACAGATCCGAACCAACCAATCAACTCTATAATTTTGTCTCGATTAATAATTGGATCGGTTCTGGTTCTTACCTGTTCTGAACTAATTCAGATTCGAAATTAATTATTTTATTAAATATATAATATTTTCTTAATTATCTTATAATTTCTATCATATTTTATGTTTCAAATGGTAGATTTGATAAATAATATTAATTAAAAATGTTTAATTTATTAACACATAAATAATTTAATATTTTTCTATCAAGGTTATATTATCAAAATTTAAATTTTAAGTTATTATTTAAATAAATAAATATAATTTTTAGTATAATTGGGTCTATCCTTCAGGACTGATTCTACCTAGACCTGACCTGTTTCCAGCCCTACCCAAAATCTAAATTTGGGTTAATATTGCTCAACCTAAACGGCTAAACCTGACCTATACGTTTTACTTTTTTACAATGAAAACTTTGTTTTTCATGGCATTAATTTACATCAAAACAAATCAAAAGGGATGTAAAAATAGAAACTTTTGTTGTAAAAGGGGATGGGAGGAAATAAATATAGGCTCAGTTTGGAAAGAGTACAAATAAACATATGTACAGCACAAATACATACAAAACAATATAAAATACAAGGTTTTGCACTATACTCTTTCCAAACTGAACCACAGGGGAAAAATTTTACATCCATTTTAATTTGAATGGGGAAGGAAAATGGAGCCCAGAAGAAAATGGGTGGGTTTGTCCTGGGGCACTTGGAAAAAACAAATGTTTTCCTTGCATTCTATGTAGGTTCTATTTGAAGAGAAACATCCAGGAAGGTGCATAAGACATGGCTTGCATCTCCAAACTCTGCAACTATTATTAGTATATAAGAATACAATCTCAGTACCATGAACAGTAAGAAAAAAAAGGAGTTCTGGTTCAAGAGTGAAGAGACCGTCCGAATTGTAGGTCCGGATTGGGTTTGGCTTCTTCCAAGCGCTTAGGCTGAGTTTGGAAGGAGTATAAATGCAAATATATAGAGTGCAAAACTTTATATTTTGTATGTATTTAGACTGTACTTATTTGCATTTATACTGCTTCCAAACTGAGCCTTAGAGGTTAGGGCCCAACTGGTTAACTGAATCCATCAATGTTGTATGCTCAAGCTTCACTCACTGTTCCCCTGCCATGTCTTTAGCTATGTGCCACAAACAGGCCCTTAACCCCAATTACGCATATTCACACCTGAACAATATAACGTGGGCTGAAACCAGTTCGATCCATTTAAATATATCCAAATAGCCCATCAATAGTTTTCTCCCAAAGTTCTACACTCTGGTCTGGTAAAGGGGTAGTGATAGATAACGATGTAAAGTAGCCAAATATTGCACGTTATAAACCTGAGCCCTCACATTATCCTTGTATTGGGGCCGGGCCCATCAACGATTTCACACAAGGAAGTGAAAAGAAGCTGCCTTTTAAGTTTTTAAGTACACGTCGCTAGTCGTGGTGGGCTACGGCCCAAGATGGTACATTGTGGCACTCTCTCGTGAAAGTAGCGTTGAACTACCACCCTTTATGGAGAGAAAATTGAACTACCATCTTTGTCTCAATGAAATCCTGTTATGGCTTGTTTAGCACTGTTTCAGTTAAACAAATCTTGATAATTTTAATCACCATATCCCTCCCTAAGGCCTAAGGATCTCCATGGGCCCCTCATAACTTAGATCAACCCCAGATTCCATCCACTCAATTCCATATTCATCTCCCGGGTTTGGGTTGACCCATAAAGTTTTGGATCAGGTTCTAGGTAGAATAGGAAATATTTGGATTAAAAAGTGACTTTCTGAATACACCTGTTACATAAAATGCTTTAAAAGTATTTAAACCTGTGGGGTGATAAATCTCATCCTATTAATGCTTAAAAATTGCAAATAACAATATAAGCAAGTATCAATCATATCGATATGCACCGATACCTAAAATTGGGTATCAAGTGTTTCGTTATTTTAATCCTTGAATCCAACCGTAGCTAATGGATTTGCATTTGATATGAGTACTGAATCTTCATCATATATTTAACATTTCCCACATCATATTTAGGATTTAGCCAAACAAATGGGCAATTTTGGGTGCAATATATGCAGAGGACTGATTTGATCCAAAGCTTTACCAAAATAAAAAAGAACCCAACCCAGCGGCAGTGGTAAACAATAGACATACACCATAAGTGTGACACAATTTCACCAAGTTCGGACCACTTAAGATTGTGACTCTTTCTTTCTTGGGTGTCAAATCGAAACCCCCCAAATGTTAATTAATGTGAAGAACCTTTACCCACCCTCATCACAAAGGATGGGTTGGGGCCAATGCAGCTAGTAACTAGACAAATTGACCCAGTAACTGGTATCCCCTGCTCAAGAAACCCTAACGTGGGATCCTCGTGAGACAGAAGAAAAGGTACCCCTCTTAAAAACATTTTGACTTCTTCACAAACAAGTAAAAAGAAAAAAAAGCACAAATTTCTTCATGCTTCCCAATTTGCTTGCTGTTAAATGAGAAGGGAATTAAAAAAAAAAAAAAGAAAGAAATAAACAAACCCAACATACGTTGGCTAGATAAAATATCTAGTACAAATACATGTATATGTATTAAATGAATTGAAAAGTTGTATAAGAAAGTTATGTGGGAATGGATTCATTCATGAAATCAACTAGTTGTTGTGTAATGTGTTGGTTGGGAGGGTGGGGGTGGGAAGGGGGACAAAATTCTATACAAGCCACAGGTTTTGAAGCCTAAGATTAATATAATTCCCCTAGTTTAGCTATGTCGTACTTGATATTGCGGCATGAATTCTACAGAAAAAAAAAAAAAGGTCTTACCCCAGTTATCAGGGGCTGATTCCACATCTTGCCAAGTTGCCACTGCATTCTGGTACCAAGGATTATAGGATTTTATTAATTTATGAACCGGGTAAGTACTATTCGGATCATTGGGGGCTGGATGAATGGAAATGAATTCCATTTCTACTGCAGTCCTTAGCAAAGAAAAGAAAATATTTCTGAATCTTGAAAGTTTCATCCATGAATGGGATCTTAAAATGGGAAAACAGAGGGATGGGAGTCCTATTTCAACCTCATTTCAGTATGAGGTTGAGGTTAAAACCCAGAAGCAGAATCTGGAAACAGAGAGACTTGGGAGTAGATGGAGGCAAGAGGGGAGACATGGTCAGCGTGGAATGTGGAAGCCTGAAACAAGATGATGAAAAGGATAAAAGAACAGGAAAACTTGGGTAAGGTAAAACCGAATAAAGGCAAATTTTAATGAGGGGTTGCGTGGTATAGGAATAGACTATAGAGGGATAGGAGTCGGGGACCCATGCCCATTGTACCGTAAGTCTGTAACAGACCCATTTCTTTTCCGGGTCCTCCGAACCCTCTCTCTCTCTCTACAGTCTACCCTAGCCTAAGGTACACATATACGCTCCTTTCTCTCTCCAAGTATTATGCGTGTGAATGTGATGGAGAGAAGAAGGTCAGGTCGGTCGAGGGTTGCTATGAAAGCGCACGTCCTCCTCCCTCTCTCTACTAAAACCCCCTCAGTCTCCTCTCTTTCTCAGTCTCCTCTCTTTCTCAGTCTCTCTCTTTCTATCTCCCTTCTCGCTCTCGTTCTGATGAACTTTAAATTCTTGGCTACGTTGATGAGTTCCCACTACCTCCACTGACAAACGGGTGACTCTCATTGGCCTCTTCCGTCCACTTTTGCCCAAAGTTAAACAAGAAAGTTCATTTATTTCTGTCATACACTCCCTCGAGTCTCTCCGTCTCCCTGGTGATCCGTGATTCCTGATCCTGAATTTGTATGAACATTCTCTCTCTCTCTCTCTCTCTCTCTCTCTCTCTGAGATTGTGTTTGTATGCGTGATGTCCTGTAATACAGAATTGCCGTTTTGCGCGTCGTACAAGTAAATACTGAACCTCAACTGTAAGCGAGTGTGGCTCTGTATTTCAGTAGAAGATAATAGTGAAGGAAGAGCAGAGTGTTCCTATTTTGGGAAATTAATAGCGAATCAGTTATTGAGTTCGTTATTCCCTACGGATCACACAGTTTAGTCACCACTAACCATGACAGAGCCAGCAAATAATTCAGAGGCAGAGAGCAGCAGCAACTCTTTCCCATTGTCTCCGTCTTCTACGTCTTCATCTGTCTCAGGCCCATCGAAAAAGGCTAAATTACAAGACCCCGATGAGAAAAAGACCAAAAAGGTGAGAGATTGCAGCAAGCACCCAGTTTACAGAGGTGTTCGAATGCGCAATTGGGGCAAATGGGTCTCCGAAATTCGCGAGCCTCGCAAAAAATCCAGGATTTGGTTAGGTACATTCCCAACCCCTGAAATGGCTGCCAGAGCCCACGATGTTGCCGCGTTGAGTATCAAAGGAAACTCGGCGATTCTCAATTTCCCCGAGCTCGTCGGGTCGTTGCCCCGGCCTGCATCACTCTCACCCCGTGACGTTCAAGCCGCCGCAGCTAAAGCGGCTGCAATGGAGGAATTCAATTTGCCCTGTTCGTCGTCGTCATCGTCATCGTTACCCTCCACATCTTCATCTTCCTTGTCGACAATGGAGTCGACGCCCGATGAACTGACCGAGATCGTGGAGTTACCGAGACTAGGGGAGAGCTTTGATTCTCCCCAGTCGCAGCACGATTATATCTTCGTTGACTCGGTTGATGGGTGGGTCTATCCTCCACTGTGGTTGCCAAGCCATGACGATTATGGGTATTTTCTCGATCAGATGATGGTGCCGGAGACTCTGATTCCAAGCAGCTCTGATGCTTTACTTTGGGATTATTAATGCTATATTGGCGTGTGAGTGTTTAATGTGTGTTTTGTCCGCTTTTTTCTTCCTTCTTTTGGCTTTCTGTTCTTTTTCTGCTTTTTGCCCTTCTTATTTTTCTTTGGAAGGCATCTCTCTCTCTCTCTCTCTCTCTCTCTCTCTCTCTCTCGTTCTCGCTCTCTCTCGCTCTCTGTTTTTTTTTTTTTGGGTCTGATACTCTTCTGTATTCCTCTTCAGTGAATCTTAACTGTATAGTGCCAGGAAGAGGAAGTTGTAAGCTCCATGGTTGGTGTAAACACATTAAAGCTTTTACGCCCTCCTCCCCTTCCCCTTCTCTTCCTTTTTCTGTACATGCATTTCTTTCTTTGAGCTTATCTGGCTTTCTCCATTTTATGTCTTCAGCAATAAGACAACCGAAACTTCTCTGAGCTCGGATTTTTATTTACAATAACAACACACACTAAGCCCTCTATCTTTATTCACAGCTTTCTATTTTTCTTCAAGTGTGAACTCAGATTTCAATTGTCATAGATTATAATAAGCAGCTGAACATATCAAAGCATCTGTGTGTGTGTGTTTGTCTTTCTTAGCTTTGAATTCAATGTGGAATTCTTGTAAACGGGTTTTCATTTTTCGAGATAATTCATCCTTGGATGATTAACTTGAAGTAAAATTGGTTCATTATAATTTCAGAGGCGAATGGGTTTCTTTCTTTGCTTCTATCACTGAACCTGTGATCAAAGAAAATAAAAGAAAGAATCGCTCATTACCAGATGTTTTGTGGGTGGTAGACTCACTCCATCGTATTAAATGCGGAGACGATGGACAGCTCTGAAGATCGATAGTCTTAAATTGCGAAACCAGGTCGAGAAATTGGGGTGATATACTGATAAACATCATCTTCTCGTGATATTTATAACATCACAATCTTAGTGATGGTGAGTGATGGGCTCTGGGACGAGTCATGACGCGCTACGCTAGCACCAGTATGATCCTGTGTTTACTTTTTATTTTTTTTTTGGAGGGGGGGAGAGTAAAATGAAGAAACAGTATGAATCAAACCTAAGATGGGTTGGGCAATTTCTGGAGATGGAAGGAGAAAGCAGAGTTAAAAAGTTAGAGGTAGATGTGAGAAATTGACAGAAACATAGACAGATTACACATCAGCCCATCTTATACAATGGGGCATTACATTTGTCACCGTGAAGTCATGAATTTACTGAAATTGAAGAGTACTATCTGCACACTGAGCTTTCTATATGCTTTTATTGTATCATGAAAGCCAGATGGAGTAGCTACAAGCTAAGTTTGAATGACTACGTACTACTAGTATCTAACAAATTTTACAAATGTAACCCTCAAAACCCAACTCATCAATCAATAGTCCCTTACTGTTTTAGGTTGTAGCAGACCTCCTTCCTTTCTTCTCTCTGACTGTCTTCTTAGCCACCTGTTCTGTGTATGACATTTAGCAGGATTGAATCACCACCAACCCTATCAATTTTATTTGCTTCCCCAGGGTCTAGACATATGCAACCATCTCATCAACAGTACCCTCCTTCATTCTCTGTAAATTTGTCCAAAAAAGCAATTAGTAACTCATTTGTCCAAGAGTTATACTGGTCAAATTTTGGTTCCAGCAAGGATGAAATCAAGGTATGCTACCACTACTACTAGGTCCTTAATTGTCAAAGAAAGAAAACATTGAACAAGGTAGCCCCACACCCCCAAAAAGCTAGTTATTGTGATAAGCTCACTATATATCATATGGGGGTAACAACTTTGATGGTGTTTGGCTTTATTGTCTTCACTATTTTGCCTTAATCATTATCATCATCTGCATCTAGTCCCAATTATATGGGTTGGCTACATATTTGTTTCTTGCTATTCCACCCAAATGAAAATAAAACAATTAATTGTTTGGATTGAACATATAAAAAGTGTAGCCTGTGTTTACATATATTGTTTAATTTTCAGCAGATCCAGAAGCCATAACACCATGAAGCGTTGAGATGTGTATCTAAAAATAATGTCCCAATTTAGTGTAGCAGTACATCAAAGCCAAGCATTTGATATCTTGAATCACTAGTAGTGGCAATTCCATAATCGCCCCTAGTCACAATTCATTTATGTACTTATAAGAAAACTTGGATATTAAAATAGAGTACAGATAATCGTGGCTACAAATATCACGAGGCTGATATGCATTGCACCGGGGCCTATAATTTCATGTGGGACATTAGGCAAAACCTATGTTACATTCGTTGCATCGTGCAGCAAAAGACATGATTGAATAATCATGATAGCTAAGTACACCTTATTTAGGTTGAGTTGATGAATCAATGAAAAGTAAATAAATTTTATGGAGAAGTACAGACAGGTTTAAACGCAGATTTCTGATTTTCACTGCAGAGTTATAAATATTCAAAATGGCAACAATCCACATTTATACATTAATACCCACCCCTAAATTAGCATCAATTCAATTCTGAACTGCCACTTATTCCTACTTATAAATTCTGACCCTAGACTGAACCGTCTTTCTCCCTAAATTTTAACATGATTATTTTAAATCCCAATTCAATGTACAACTAATATTAATAAATACATTATAATAGTAATATTATTAATTAAAACTTTTGACCTCTTTGGTAATATATAATCACCCAATCGTGGGGCCTTTATCCTCTTAACATAATTAAAGAGGTCTTATAGGGCAGCGTATTCACCCCATCGTTCCCTTGGGTAAGCCTCTCTCTCTGTATATAAAAGTATAACACAGCAGTAGACAAAAGAGGATGAAAATTTTTAATGCTCAAAGCTGCCAAGACATGTACAACACTGCACCTAACACTTATATATTCAATACCACATTCTTCATCATTTTTTTTTTCTTTTTTCTACAGTGCATCTGGATGTAGATTTTTTTTTTTTTATATGATTTTATTATAAGAGCAGAAGTACCAAAAACGACCAGGTGGAAACCCAGTTGAAAAGGGTTTGCTCTCAACTCGTGACATTGGGAGGAAGGAGTAGGTAGGTGAGTTGGGTTTGAACTTTGAAAAGCCAAAACTGATCCCGTTCAGTTTAGACTGCTTTAACTAAACAAGAACGTGCTAAGAAAGAGACCCGGGTTAAGCTGGACGGCTTTTACTAGAATAGCTGTTGTTTGCTGTTTGGATTGGAGAGATTCCTCATTGAGTAGATGGCCAACCAATAAAATAGAATCAATCAATCAATCAAATGTTCCGGTCTGATTCTGATATGTTTCCTTTGTCTCCTAAATGTCACCAAAGATTTCAACCTTATTAATTACACCAATTACCAATAACCCTTTCTCTAACCTCGTTAGTCTTCTTTCACTTTCACATGGGAGCTAATTAAGCAATTCTGACTTATGAGGGTAGCTGTTCTCTTACCATTTTGAAATTCTAGGCAAAATCTATGACATCTGCTACGATACAACAAAAACTGTTGGTTATGACATTTTTAATATAGTTGATTGAAACATGCAACTACTATCAAAACAAATCAAATGTAATTAAGCTCCAAATTATATTTCTTCTTATTAATCACCAATCTTTTATGAATTTGTTTCTTTCTTTATAAGTATTTGAAATCGTGACATTTTTAATCAAATGTATGTGTTTAGGGCAAGCGCTTTCATTTGCCAAGTAGTTTTGTTCTTGATGCTTAGGTTAGGCCCATCGGATTTGGACCCGTTCAAGCCAAATAATTAAGTGGGCTGGATTGAATTACAAACTAATACTTTTGTCTACAAATGAATACAAAGTCTTCCAATCCCTCCACAAAGTGCACAAAAATAAATATAAATCACTTCTGCTTCTTTTGTCTTTTGGGAATACAAATAAACTTTGTTGCTGACAATGTCAACAAAAAACCAGGTCGGCCATTATATGGGATAAAAAGTAATGCTTTATGGGGTTAAACTTGGAGCTTGGGAGGTAAATGATAGGCATTATAGGATTGTACTATATATGTCCGTAAACCCAAAAGTTTGTGTTCAGGTGATGGTTGAGCAGGTTAAAAAAGAAGTCATGTTGCAATTTCCGTGACCAATCCCCTTTTCATCCCATATTGACGTTATGCATAATGGAAGAATACAAATAAAAAGAAGTGTCCTATACGGATAAAGAAATAGATTCCATCGGGGATGAGGAAACTCCCCAAAGACCTCGGTGGAAGCCCTCATTTCGATAACCCTATAAGCCTTGTTCATATAGGACACGGACACCCAATAATTATAAGTAGGTATTCCTCGCTCGAGGCAAGGGACCTTTTTGGGGGAACTGCATTCTTTGAATATCTCTTTGCACTATCTACTCAGCCCAGACCAACACTATTTTGACCTGCTCAACCTGACCACATCTTTCTATACCCTATTGACTTGATGTCGGAGTACCTACCTAAGGAACAATTCCTCGGGCCTCTGACCTTTCCCTTGGTTGCATATCTCAGTGTGCGGCTTTGTCCTTTCACCTCGACTTCGTCCAGTTGGCAGGACTACTGATTGTGCCATTGGTTCGAAACACCTCGGATCGGACATTAGATTGGTATCGTCTGTAGAAAACATACAAAAAGTCATTTCCCAAACCCCTTTCTGCACACTAAAAGCAACCATGCCTAAGAACACATCTGACTGATCTGGAGTTTGTTCCCCATCTCGGGGATCCTGTTCCCTTCGCAACTCTTCGCTTTGGGAGCCCCAACACTAGGCATCAGTCGACCCTGCACAATTCCTCACCATGCAGCAGAAAGTTGATCGTATCCTCACCATGATGGAGACAGGGACAACCAGTGTACGCCCCCCAAGCCACTCGGCTTGCCATGGAAGATCCTCGCATTGAGGTCCCCAAAAGGCTCCACGTTGGTCCACACAGGGCCTAATCCGACCACAAACGACCGCAATCACCCAGAAGACATAACTCCCTAGCTTAGCCTCGCATGCATGATGCCCATAGTAGATCCCATCACTCCGTTCGAGTGCCTGTGAAAGTACGGCTTGGCCAACATTTGCAACAGCCACTGACCTCGATAGTAGAATCCAGCTTTGTCTAAAACTGGCCTATGATCTTGAAAGTGGAAA